AAACTATGCTCTACTTTCTACTCCGATCCTGCAGTCTCGTGTGCCTTTGTTGACCTGATGGCCTGGCCTAGATACACATTGTTTGTGGTTTTTGTCAAATATAACGATTTTCGTTCATTGAAACGTACGTTGAAATTAGATTAATTGAATATAGAGACAGCAGTTTTTTAAATGATCGCATCCCAGGCAATTACTTCTAATGTCGGATGAGTTGATTTTGTAAATAGTTTTAATGTCATCCTGGTAATCGTATTTGCTGAATCAAATGCTTTTCATGCTCTAATAAACGTGTGATACACTCTCAGTCTCTTCTGCTGGGCGACTGTAGATTAAAAAGAAGGGCAATATTAATATATTCCCGCATTTTTAAACAGGTGTGCGTGGGTGCGTGTGCGTGCACATGTTTACTGTATATATTGGCGAGAAGTTATACGAAAGAGTAATTAATCGCTCATCCTTCCTTTTTTCATCGCTGTTTTTCTTTTTCTTCGTCTTCACAATTTTGTTGGTCTATCGTCCTCCTTTAATAGTAAAGTACTATTATCATTTTTATTTTATCTTTATTGTTATCATTGCTATTGTTATTATGACTATTATCATCACCATTATGTTTATCTAGTAAAATGTTCTTTTCCTTGTCGTCACAGGAAAACGCAAAGAAACAAACTCATGGTGTACATGTCATGATTTAAAGACTATTAATGGACCTTGACATAAACGGACGTGCTGAATGATTAAAGTGAAAAGAGACATTACAGTAGCAAGCATTAGCTAATTGAAAACAGTGAGAGGACTGCAAGCTGTGAAAGATTGATGGCCCGTACTCCATAGTCAAGGGGTGGACGTAAAAGAGAGAGAAGTAATCAAATCCCTTATAGTGTCTGAGTGAAGGGAGAAAGCTCGAGAGAAAGATACTGTATGAAACGAATCCCCCCATCATTTATTAATTTAAAAATAAGTACATAAGAAACACAAATTTACAAAATGTATATTGATTACAAAGAAAAACACATATGTACTTATATCACAAAATTAATTATATATACTTAAAATAATATAATACATTTTCAGAGGTGATACTTTTTAACATTTGGCCCTCTATGCAATAAATCTGTAATGCGATACCATAGAACCTTTGAGACAGTATCTAAACAGAAAAGGAAATAAAATATAATTAAGACTAAGCCTAGAAAAGGCTGGAGGAAATAAATAAATATTTGTTGTTTTCATGAGTTATAGCCTATGGAGAAACGTCTCGAGGGATTAGTTATCACGAATCTACAATGGGTAACATAGCGTATATACCAAGGACAAAAATGTAATGTAATTGAAAATAAGCACCTACTAATTTTTTTAAAAACAAACATGTGAATGATTGTTGGTTAGTACTCTACCCTCAAAGAATGGGAAACCAAAAACTCGTCAATGTTATCCTTATAGGCATGCTAGTAAAAAGGGAAATTTAAAAGAGGGGAAGAGAAATGTGGGGGAGGGAAAAGAGAGAGAGAGTGATAAAGAGAGAGACTGAGAGAGAGAGAGAGAGAACTACGTTGTGAAGGAAATAGATAATGGGTTTCGAAAGCAATAACTATTGTAGGGTCTGGAAATGATCAGGTTGTCCTGCATATAATAATAATAAGTCCCATTTATAATAATCCTAAAATATCTAAGGAAAATCCTTCCATGGCAATCTAATCATTCTTATATTAATTTCTTTTTTTGGCGTAATTGAATCATCTATCTAACTAAATATAGAAAGGATATACGATTATGATAAGCAAACAAATTCCCTGGACAATATTTCTTTCCATGGATATCCAGAAATATAATTTGAAGATGCCGTCCCGTGCATTATGCTACGTACATGTATGTAAATGAAATACATGGCCATAACCACCGCTTATACTTGGTAATACAGCGTAGGATTATAATCACAAATGGAATTCACACACTCGCTCGCCTTCATCGTCACAGTAAAAAGGCTAGCTGTGGCAAGATTGTATTCAGTGCATGCATTATTGAAGGACACTCGCTCTTTCCCTAGGCGAGAGCTGGGTAGGAAACTGAAGAGGATATCGTTCTAGTGACTAGAATATGTCAAAACCATGCAACACACCACAATCACATTGTGCTGTATATGGAGGGGAGTTATAAATAGGGGAAGAGGCTCGTAGCGAAGGGCTATTTTAGGAGATATATGTTGGACATTCACTTGTCACCATTATGGAAGTTAAATGTATATTTGGTCTGAATTATGAAGATGTTTAGGTGTACGAGTATTAATTGCCACCATGTAGTAAAAGTGATGATTGACGATGATGATAAACAATATTATATCTTGTATGTGGCGATATATTTAGGCTGAAGACTTTCATAAGGGACAACTATACCAGTTATAATATTGCAGCCAACTTTATCACCACCACAATCATTATTGTCATCATTGTCATCATAGTCATCATCATCATTATCCCCCTCCTGAGTCCTCCACCTCAAAGTGATCATCTGTCAATCATTATCTTTATTAAATAATCATGATCATAATATAGCTACCTGCATTATGGTTATGCCCCGAGTGACATCATCACTGACTCCCTTATTATCATCACTATATTATATTATCGGTTTTAACAATTTTATCGGTTATTGAAGGCTACTATTATCATACATGCATATTATTGTTAATGAATACAACCTTTTCCATAATGCCCCTTTGTCTAATATTGAATCTGAATAATATCAACGTTATGACCATCATCATTATCACACTTACAAATAACACCTGTATATATGGCTTCTACATCTAAGTGGTATTTAATATAGTAGTTGCAATGATCACTTATCAAAATGACGTTGCTTCAAGTATCTTCTGCGCTATCAAAGGACAGATAAGTGTAAAATAATAATAATCTGATATTGGTGATCTAAGTTTTGCTGGTATGATATTCCTAAACTGCTACCAAATTTGTCCCCGGGCTTTAACGTTGAAATGGAATACCGGCCATAAACTATAGCACCCACTCAATGTTGACGTCGTTACTTAATACATAAACAATACCATACAATACACGAAAAAGGGAATATTTAAACGACTTGTCAGTTGATTTTTGATTGAAATTCTCCTTCATTCCTTATCAAAAGAAAGAAAAGCTGGAAGAAAAAAATAAGGACGTTCAATATGTATCACAAAGATATCAACGGTGTTTTTAATTATAACTCTTACACACTGAATTGATTATCATTTATTTGTATCGCTTTATTAGCACTGAGCTGGTGATTTAGCATCGGATGCATAAGCGGGCGTCAACCATCTTCATGAATAAATTAACTTTTGAAGCCTCGTCTGGGAGATAGTACCCTGACCTTAAGACCCAGTAAAAGCCAGACGTCCCACTGTCTTTTGTATGAAGGAAAGATAACAGACATCGTCATGTGACTTGCCACCCGATGAGAGAGAAAGCAAGTCAGGGAGAGAAACAGAGAGAGAGAGGGAGAGAAGGGATGGGAGGATGTCGGGTAAGATAGAGGGAAGGACATCTGATACAAGAATCGCTATCATGACTTACCACCCGTTAAGGAAAAATGTAGGATGAGAGTGAAAAGAGAGAGAGAGAGAGTGAGAGAGAGTGAGAGGGAGAGGGAAACGGAGGGAGAGGTAGGGAGGGAGAGTCAAGGCGATGGCGTTACTAATATGCACAATGTGACATCGGTCTCTCTCTCTGTGTGTGTGTGTGCGTGTGTGAGTGTGTGTAGAGGGGGGGGGGGCGCTATTTAGAAGAAAAAAGGGTTATCGTCGGAAGAAACCTGGTAACATTAAACAGCAAATTAAGACATCGCTATCATGACTTACCACCCGGTCAGGAAAAATGTAAGATGACAGTGATAAAGAGAGGAAGAGAGAGGAAGAGAGAGAGGGAAACGGAGGGAGAGAGAGAGAGGGAGAGTCAAGGCGATAGCGTTACTAATATTTCACAATGGGGCATTGGTGTGTGCGTGTGTGTGTGGGGCGCTATTTAGAAGAAGAAACTCCAACAAAATAAGACAAACCTTGTAACATTATTGTATTAAGCACATGCTATTACAAGGTCTTGAAAAATAAGATCGCAGTAACATCGTATACACTGTGGTGGGGTTATACCACTTAACCGTTTTAATCTGTTGAGAAATATAAAGGCATATTTACTTCTACACAGAGTTAAAATCCTTCTGGCTCTCAACACCTATATCTACTCATCGTAGTATGAGTCTCACTACATTCGTCAAAGCTGAATGTTGTATGCAGGGTGACTTTCCCCCATCCATAGCGGGGGTGCAATGAGTGCGTATCCGGGCCGTTAGAACAGAATGGCGTTCTTGAGGCGAGAGAATTGATTATACATCCTGAGCTGTGGAGCACTTGTGGCCCTGACGATATAAAAGTGACATTAATCCGACGCTGAAACATCCTTCTTTTCTCGCCCGCCACGAGAGACTCGGAATTGGATGACAAAAACTGATAGGGAAGAGTGAATGACGGTGCTAGAGTGTGAGAAGTGTGAGAAAGAGAGAGAGAGAGAGAGAGAGAAAGAGCGCGCGTGGAAAAGAAGATTATGGTGATTTGTGCTAAAAATGTTTAAAAGAGTATGAAGTTTGAGGGGTATAACAAACACGTTCAAAGTATAGCTTTATTCTTTCATATATAGTTAATACATTCACTTTTTTAAATCATAATCATAATTATTTAAATCATAATCATAATTATTGTTTACATATTTGTAGATGTTTTTTTTCACTAACTTAAATCTATCGTTAGAGCCTTCAGAATACATTATATTATCTTATTTTTTATCGTTTTTTAAGGATAATCCTATTATTACTAAACTTGCATTAAATACGTAAGAGAGCGAGATGAAAGTATCAATTAAACGATAACAGCATATGGAATAATGACATTATTTAAAATATATATATATACAATAATTAATGGCCTTAACGATTTAACACTCAACCCTAACCCTAATTCCGTTTCTTTTAATAATGCGTTCCGTTTTTCTTTCCTCAACAGACAGCCGCGAATCAAAGTTGGGATCCAACACGGCCCTACTGAGAACACTCAAGTACACGATTGTAGCAGCAATGGTGATCCATTTAACGGCCTGTGGATGGTATTACTTAGCTTGTACAGGATGGCACGGTAATGAGACACCTGTCTGTCAGAACGACTCCTGGGCGTTATCCTTCAACTTTGGTAAGATTGGATTTTAAAGAGTAATAAAAATAATAATGATAATATATTCATTTGTAAAGCTCAATAACTATGTGAATATATTCTACTGCGCTGCAAGAGCTCGTAAAGGCTGTGTTATACTTCTACTTCTACGACGATACTCAGCAGGATCCATAAGTCAGGATGCAGTGCTGAGGAATAAACTATCTAGTTCTCGGTCTAGAACGGGTATACATACTACATGAACAAGTGAGGTTTAAGTCTTAATTTAAAGTTTTCTAGTGACGGACCTTTCCTTATTTTTTGTGGTAATCTATACCATTGCTATTCCATAGTAATGTTGTAATAAGTAGGACAACTTGTCCTGTTTTCTCGCCTTCTCTCTTTCCTCTTTTCTTTCTGTTCCCGCTTTCATTTCATTTTTTTTAAAGACTTTCGTGTGAGCATAGGATTAGGGTGCACGTATACTTGTGTACCTGTGCAAATGGTTCAACGTGCCCTTTTTCAGACATTTAATTGTCATATACTCATTTCTTGAAATCGTGGAAAGAAAAAATTAGTGGGAGGGGGGGGGGGAAGTTTTCATATCCAAACCTCTTTCGTCCTACATGTACTTGCGATATGATACATTAAATACCCTTTTATTCAGGGGGGGGGGCAATATCTAAATGATTGTTCCAAGTGGAAGTGATCGGTTTGAACGAAGACATTATTAGAGCAGATAACAGTCATAAAGGGGTCTTAAAACGATTTCTGGGAAAAGTCATGAACCAAATTGGCCTCATAAAATGGTTACTATTAAAAAGATGATAGACAGTCATCACTTCACTTTATTTGTATGCTATTGAGAGAGAGAGAGAGAGAGTGAGAGAAACGAAATAAACGTGCTCTTGTGGGCCCGTATCTTGCTCTCTCCCTCTCTCTCTCTCTGTATCTCGTTTTTCGAGCTAACCCTCCCAATCCACTCTACGAAATGTCATGTGTCACATACTGTCATTCAGAAATGGCGGAGAAAATCCCCCAAGTATTTATTTACTCCCATCGCTCTCTGTCGCAATATCTTCTCGCACTATGCGGACCGGTGATGTATTGCTCTGGGGAATGTTTATTTGCTGTTCAGAACAGATAGGGATGAAAATAGGAGGGGAGCTAGATAGATGAAGAGAGAAAGAGAGAAACAGAGAGAGAGAGAGAGAGAAACAGACATACAAATAAAGGGCAGGGGTGAAGGTGCCTTCCAAATAGGGAAAGGTTAGACAAAATTGTAAGTACGTTGTTACTGGGCTAATTATTCATGACTGACTTTCGTGAGGATGGCGTAGCAGTCTATGGTAAAGTCATGAAAGGAAGAGAAATGTTTAGAAAACCACAACCTGTTACGATGTGGAGGAGCTTTAAAGTCTATTTTACTTTGCCCCTTGCGATCCCGTCTATAACTTCTTTAACTGCTACAGCTCATCCTGCTATTAAAGTAATACAGCACAACAAAGCCATTGGCAACACTACATCAGCAAACAGTACTACAAAAGTACTACTACTACTAATTATTATTATTATATTACTGCTGCTGCTGTTGCTAAACTATCACTGCTATAACTCCTACTACTGCTATAATTCTACTAATGTCCTACAATAACAACTACTACCACTCTACTACTACTACACCACTACTACGACTATTGTCCATGCTAATAGTTCTACATCTACTGATGATGATGTAGGGTCACACGTACTAAATAACAGAATAAACCATGTCTACTAATTGGTAAGAATAAAACACCTGAACCTTCAAATTACACAGCAACAACCAATACTACATAATTGGGATCTTCCTCCGCCAGTACTTACTACAGAAATACCCGTTGGACGCTGCGTCTGTTTTGGCAATAAATCCCGACATTTACTGGACGATTTAACTCATTTGACTCGGCTAAACACGGTTATTGGTTTTGAGAGAGAAGAGGGAACAAAACAGCTTTCTGAGAAAATATACGTATAGTATACTTGTACTGGAAAGCTTAATGTGATTTAGACATTTGACTGCCGTCTTAATAAATAAATCACATGGTAAAAGAGTGTTCTGTTCTCCGTATATAATGTTAAGACAATGGAACACGCTTGGAATGAAAAGCACCATAACTAATTAGATAATCGAAAAAAAAGTATAGTTTATATATAATGATATATTTCGACACTGCCCCAGCCCTTTCTCTTCTCTCGTTCATGTCCACTTTTTTTTCCCTCATATTATTTTGTGCCGGTAATTTTACGGCAACAAAATTGAGGATGTTTGGCTCTTAATGGAAATATATATAAACTTTTCACCTATATACAAGCTCACATTTTAGGTGACCTGCTTTTTATGTACGATGATTTAAGAAAACGTCAGGAATCTCTGTCGTGTGAAAATAAATTTCAACCCGCGAAAAGTGTGAAGAGGCTACAATAATATTATTACCGATATAATGTTCGGAAGATATTTGTGTTTCAAGATGTTACCATCTACAGTACACGGAGCTTGCACCGAGCCGTTACATGATGTAGAGGTGAAAAACAAGCCATAAATCGTTGTAGTCATCAGCAGTTTCCTAGAATTAACATGCCCATTAATTTCTTCGGAGAACGCCGGGTGATAAATCGAGGGTAGCATCCTTCACTGTAAGCAATCGAGCTCAGTGTGTGATGCATCACGATATTCATCATCTGTCCTGTAGGCTACCAAGATTGCTTGACAGTACCGAGAATTCGAAGCTAATAATTTGCAAGTGCAAGTTGTGACTCAAGTTGAACAAATATATACATTTAAACTATATTTATAATATTGATCGAGGGAGAAGACGTAGGAGGATAATAATAATAATAATAATAATAATAATAATAATGATTTTAATTACAAGAACAAGAAGAAGAAAAGGACGACGACGAATAAGAAGAATTAGAAGTAATAGAAGAAGAAAAGAAAGAATAGGAATAAGAAGGATTTACTCCCCCAAAAATGGAAAGCTGCCTAATAAGCTGATCCAAATATGCCACAGGGGTCCTTTGATTGAATGCGGTCTCCATCTGATTGAAAAGAAGTCGTGCAAATCATAGAATTCCACTTGTCTTTTCTTAAATAAGTGATTGCATCGTGCAAAACTGCCATCGCCTCTTTCGAATTAACTCCAGCACATGGGACAACATATCGAGTGTCTACGAGCATCTGCGGGCACATTCGTTATTTTGGCGGTCAATTTAGGGAACAAAAGTGCATTCGATATTAGGTCGACCCCGTTCTCTCTCTCGGTGTCGTCTGCTAAAACGTCAAAGATGAATTCCCAGGACACCGCACTCTGTCCTTAAAATGGACGAATGTTGATGACATTTATCAGGCACAATTGGAGTACATTTGCATCTGAAAATGATAAATCACATGGATGAGAAAAGAACAGTCGTCCTGTTTACTTCGCCGAAATGAAATGAGGACCAGGATAAAGTGCTAATCAAGTTTTTGTGTTTCGCATTTGTTTTTTCCAGGAAGGCAAAGCTTTGGAATTAATAATGGTTTCTTGTTCCATTACTTTCACTTCTGTAGCTAAACAAAATTTCTATTTCTCTTTTTTCGTATTACGCTTCCCACGAAATAGCGAAACAAAATAAGGGAACGACTTTGACACAATTTAGAATTTCTCTGTACATATATTTGTGGTCGAATCGGGCAATCAACACTCATACAAAAATGTGATTATTATTGTTGTTTAATAGGTGTTGAGTCGTTCCAGACTCCTGGTGAGCCCATGAACGTACCGTCTCCAAGCTACTCTGTCCTGAGCAAAGCACATCTCTCTTAATCTCCCTTAATGACGTTCCTATCCATAGCTGTCATTTCAAAGGGTGAAAAAAGAACATTACATGATTAACAAATCACATGATACCATTTCCTTTTCCTCCTGAAAAATATGCTGAACCCCTATGAAGGTATTTTAAACAGACACACACAAGCAAACACACCCCAAAATCAAAACAAAACAAAAACAAAACAGCACCAAAAACAGCCAATGAAATAAGCATACATTATGAAGGGAAATTTGTCAAAGGTATACCAGACTCCCACATTATGAAAATATTAGTCAACTCATTGCATAAACACAAACTCAACGAACTTATTTCCCCCATGAGATCTGAGTAATGAATTATAAACTTGTCATCTATGGCCTTGTCATAACATTTGTATATCTGGGAAGTAAAAAGCCTGATTAATTTCATTTTGACATCGTGTAGGCCTATGACAATATCGCGAGTAGTGGATTCTGGGAATTGATAATTAAAACGTAGAAACCCTCTCCTACGCTCTAGATGTGAATTTCAACCCGTTGCCAAGGTAACAATTGCATCGTTCCATTTTGCTCTCAAATTTCACCCAAAGTGTTCGTCTGAAGGACAGCACAGAAAATAAATTGACATTTTTCCTTCGTCTTAAATTCTGCGTTTTTTCCTCTATCCCGCGCGAAAAGTATCCACTCATACATAATATTTCCTCCCCTGCATTTCAAACGGGCATCCTGGTGATTACACTTTTTGCTCCGGGGGTGAGTTGGCATGGCAACGGTGATGACGTCATTAGGAGAGGGGGATTTCTTTCTCCTTGCCATAAAGTCGCATCTGGAAAAATGGTCATGTCCAAAATATGCTATCCTGAAGTATATGCTCGATCAAGCAGCCTTGCGTGCAAATTATATTACCTTCTAACATGTATACTGGATAATGTGGAATATATTCCATGTTAATACCCTTTGCATCATGGTGTTGGCCTGGTAGGGAGTGAACACGAGGTGTAACTCATTACAGTACAATCTTTAAAAAGTGTTAAAAGGAAGATAATGAAGAATAAAACAGAAACTGGCCCATCTTATCAAATTTACAAGAATTCGATCACGTTTTCCCCCGATGTATGAAATTCAATTTGGTTCTTCATTACCCCATTTTTACTTGCATAAATATGTCTGTTTATTTCTGTTATTTATTTTCCGTTCGTGTGATACATTTTGAAGCATTCATCCATACTTTAAAGAAAAAAGAAAGTCCCAACGAATATCAAAGAATGGGCTTTCGAATGGTTGTCTTCCCTATTTCAAGACGGCACAGCTATATATTTTCCAACGATGAAAGCTGTTCATTATCATTTATTTTCTTTTAAATGTTTGGTCTTGAGTAAACATTGTAAATTTCGTTTCATTATCACGACAGCTTTTTTTCAATACAAAAGCAGGTTAAAGCCATGTTAACCTTCTTCAGTAAGATCAAACAAAACTAAACATATAACATACAGTAAGTTGTACTCTACAAAAGTGTTTGGGAAAAATCAAGCATATTTCGGCAATGTCATATCCATCATGGATACAGTTTGCCAATTATGATTAGCAAAATCCGAAATGGGAGTATGATTGCCGAACTGATATTCGGACACATTATAACCCCAATACATGCACACAGTTAACAACTAAATTATTCACACCCCTAGTAAATTTGATGTTTTTTTTCTTTGTATTTCGTAACTCAAGAATGAAAGATGGACTGTTTAAATATTGTTAGATCACATTCTCCACGAACAAAGATCGGGATAAATCGTATTTCTACATACTTAAATAATTACAAAAATTAGCTACGGTAAGAACAATTTAGTTACCTTTATACATGTACATCTTTTTACCCAACATTTGATTTTTCAAATCATTTTCTCAACATATTATACTATTTCCATGTAAATTTTATATACTAATTTCCAATATTCCTTGATATATTTTTGCAGGCCAAGACTTGGACGAAGCATCAACTGGAGATTCATACGTCATTTCACTGTACTGGTCTGTCGCGACTGCTACATCTACTGGGTTAGTACTATTACAAATATGTCTCTCTTATCCTAAATATAAAGTTAGAAATTGCCTTTATTTTTACACATCTTCGGTAATGAAAGACATGTCTGCAAAAGAGCGAAATGTGTCCCGTACGAAATATGAAATTTCTCCATGTATCTCTTTAAATAAAAAATGCCTACTGTCTTGTAGGAAAAACTTTATTTCAAATGGTCATATATATGGGGAAAAATGGGGACAAAAAAATCGCGCAAGACGCAATAAACTAAATCGACCTCCTGCAAAATCTAATTTGTCATAATCATTTACAATGTTTTAAAACTAATTAGTACAACACAATTAGGGTAAAATATATCATGATTGATTCTTATCAAAAAAGGTTAACTCAATTTCATTTGAAGATGATCTCTTTATTGAGTGAAATATTCTAGAATTTGGTCTTGATCCCTTTCTATCTTGCAGATTGTCCCATCAGTTGCGCAAAAAAGTCGTAATGATAATGATTAACACATGTTGTTGAGTGCAATTATCATCACTTTTTAGAAGTTAATTTCTTCCTTGTCTGTGACCCATTCTAATTTGGTGATGTAAGTGCTGCGAATGAGAAGGAGAAGTGTTTTTCAGTTATCGCCATGTTGCTCGGTATCTTGTTAAACAGTTATTTCCCCCATTTCTCTTCTTCTCTCATCTGTTCAAATATGGGGATATAAGCGCTGTGAATCAGGAGCAGAAGTGGTTAATATCGATCTTTGCCATTTTGCTTGGTATCTTGTACAAGCATTTGCATTTTCTTATTCAAGGTGAATTTTGTTCAATCTCCCTAACATTGTGTGTACCTGTACTAAGTTCTCTCCCTTTCTCTTGTTCCTTCACCCGCTCAGATATGGTGATATAAGCGCTGTGAATGAGAAGGAGAAATGGTTTTCAATCTTCGCCATGTTGCTCGGTATCGTCGTTTTCTTCGGCATGATCCTGGGCGGTATGGCATCCATGTTGACCAACTTTGACGCACAGAGGGCGCGCTACACACATCGCTTCAACGTTATCAAGGATTCACTTGTAAGAAAACATTTTTTGATTCATAAAAGATTTGTAGAATTCCCCCAAGGTGTTTTACCTCTTAACTTTTACGATCTCACGAGAAATACCTCACCATCAAACAATAAGGTTGTACACTCAAATATCGGCGATTTCATATACTAGATAACCAACACAAATAATCAAGGTTCATTGGCCTGTAATTGTTTGGGTACACACAAAACACACACAACATACAAATGTCAAAGGGAGTGGACAACTCTCCTAAGCGGTAATAATCAACGTACAAATTACAGTGATCACCTGAAAAACAGGAGCAATTAATCTTCTGTATATAAAACAAAAGCAACACAATAATGAATGGGATCGTCAAAAGGGAATACGAAACTTACCTCTATTTTAATCACCTGCACGATTAAATGATATATGCGGATATACAATCATACATCAACAAAGACCGAACAGTAAAAGGATCATCAAATCATTCAGCAAAGCGTTACAAAATAAATAGCTCAAACCAAATCAGCATCGAGGTCAGGAATGATGATCCTGACGAGGGCGACGATGAGGGCGGTGCTGTCGGTGGGAAATAGATGATGACGGCCATGATGATGACGATGATGTTGTTGAAGATGATCAGTAAGCAAATTCTCCGGCAGAGGTGCGGGGACAAAGTCGTTCAGTCCTTTTCGGACAAAAATTAAACCGGCACGATGTACAATCGCACAGTTAAAGATGTGTGTACCAAAAATCCGACTCACGCTCACGTGGTGAGAAGAGCCCAATGCCCCAATGCAATCACCACCGCAGCGTGATTGGTTGAAATTTAAGTAAAATACGCGTATACAATTAACATGCGAGCATACGCGCTGTACGTAACAATGGAAAATCTACATCACAAAAGAATATATTAACGAACCAGACAAAACCGGTTTGAACATGTCTGCAAAGCCAGACAGGCGGAGAGGAAATTTACCACGCATTATAGAATGTAGGTCTTCGTAGTCGCCATTTTTAAAATGACAAAGCAATACATATCAAACATGTAAACATCAATGCATAAAACTTGTATAACGTTATTACACATCCGAAAACAAGGTATAATTTCAGTAAAAGTTAAACATCGTGACATATGGTCTCTACCGATTAGTAATTTATGGTCCACAAATCCTGAAAATTCCTTTCCTTCATCATTTATGTAAGCAGTGCTCTCTTTTATGTTTCTCTGCTCTTCATATTATAGCATATCATGACAAAACCTGAAATATATGTCTAGAGTATGGTACATCATTGTCTAAAGTATGATACATCAAAGTAAAACAAGCTTTAACATCTTCAATAGATAACAATATATCTCAAAGTAGGGTACTACAAATACTAGTACTATTAATAGATACATAAAAAAAATATATATTAATTTAATTAAAAAAATACCCCCCCCCCCCCCCTTTAGAGATCAAGTAACTCGATCCAAATAATAAGAAACGTTATGTACGCTGTTTCAAATAATGTTTGCTAATGATATTTTTAAAAAAAAAGGGACATAACTTTAAAAGCTTTTAAAAACATATTTTACAGATTTATTCGTAATAATATTTTCCATAGAATCATTCCCTCCTTTTATGTTAATCCTTGCAAAAGTATTGGTGATGTCAACCACTGTGTAATGATCATACACGACAGCAAGAACAACAGAAATGCACCTGTCACTTCCCTATCACCTTTGCACCTCTTCATGTTGACCTTACAGAAGGACCAAAGTGTTCCCGAGGACCTTCAGAAACAAGTGATAGGTTACTACGAGTACCTGTGGGTCAGGAAGAAAGGTGTGACCGACGACAGTCTTATCAATGCTCTGCCTCTCACCTTCCATGCTGAAGTCTCTCTCAGTGGAAACAAGTACATTCTAGACAAGGTAAGGTCATGTCAGGGGTCATGTCAAAGGTCAAGTCAGTGTCACCATGTGTTGCTTTTGAAAGTGTATTCGCCATTTGTGATCAATGATGCTTGACCTTATCAATGCTCTTCCCCCGACCTTTCATGCTAATTTCTTTTTTATTAGAAGTAAGTAAATTCTAGACAAGGTAAGGTCATGTCAGGGGTCATTTCAGGGTAAGAATTAATGAGTGTTCATCCTATGGCAATGGAAAATTAAGAAGGGGTACAACCAGCTCATGTCTCGTTTTAAAACCAAGGTAGCATACCGTAAGTGCACAATATATTATGTACTCGTCCTTGTGTTTTTGTGTCCATCAAGATCAAATATTGTCCAACAGCCTTGAGGAAAAAAATAAGATGACTTCCTTTTTTGGTTGCTTCTTTCCCCCTCCTTTCCCCTCTTTCACACAATTCTTGATCCAAAGGCCTGTCCTTTCTGATCTAAAAATAACCTGCAATGAGTTATGATATCGTAAACAATTCTGTCATTTGCAGGTAGAATTTAGATTTTTAATAAACTGGGATGATATATACTGTGCGCATTTGTTTAGTATATGCTAGAGTCTTAAGAAATTCCATATCCATGTTTTCACCCCTCTCAATATTGGTCACTCCTGCTATTATAAATGCAGGCAAAACTCCTCCTCATATGTAAAAAAAAATCCAGCCTATATTATTTAGCTTCTTTAAAGATAGGACAGTGAACAAACAGTTGCTAATTAGAATTGAGTTCGGCCTGACAAAATGCAAACACCTGCAGGGGTGCAGGTGGCTTGTTTGGCACATTGTTGGGCGAGTTTATTCTCGACATTCCGCCTGCATTAATAGTGTCTCAGGGCAATTAATACCTGAACGCTCACTGAATTACTGATTTAGGTCGTTTCACTAAGAATCTGTGTTACTATTTTGCCTTAATTTTGTTAACTAAAATGGTTTCTTATTTTCCTTATATGTAAGAGAAGAACGTGTGTGCGGGCAAGCAATGAATCCAATGACCGGTGTAATAGTATATTTGTAAAGCGCTTAGAGACATTCGTATTAAGCGCTGTATAAAAATTAAATATCATTATTATTATTATTACTCCTGAATTTGTATTGAAAGAAGAAGAACGATTTTCATTAACGATACGCAAGAACTCAAATATAGTCTTTGCGACTGCTTTTTTTGCTTCATCATCACAGATGTGCCGTGTGCAGATGGACATCTAACCAGACTATGAAGCAAACGGTATAGGGTTCAAATCGCTTTCATGGCTGTTATGTCCTCTGGCAAGAAATTAACGTCCATTTGCCATGGAACCCTGTCATAAAGTGTTGTGTCTTCTGGGAATTTTTTTTTAATGTGGCTAAACTGATTAAAGGAAACATGTTATGATAATGTCATAGTATCATCACGAAACGTTATGAATGTGTTTTATTTTGAATGTTTTCAGGCGCCCATGTTCCAAGGGCTGAGTGACGGGTTTCTGCGCATGCTCTCTCTGGAGATCAAACCATCGCTGTATCTGCCGCGGCAAAAAATAGCTGGAAGAAACGAGATTTGCCACGACATGTACTTCATACAGAGAGGAGAGATCGAGGTAAAGCAGACTTACATATGCACATTAGGAATTGGAATGGGGGTAGAAAAACAGCAAAGGGGAGGAATGGAAGAGAAATAGAATTTAGAGAAAATGAAATAGAGGCATGCGTGTGCTCTACAAATGATAGTGGATTGAAGAAAAAAGAATAATTTAAGAAAAGGGAAAGGGTGTGGTAAAAATAGTGAAACGTTTACTAAATTGATGGTTATGTCAAAATGGTACTTCTTAGATGACTCTAAAGACATTACAGTACTTTGGTTGATTTTGGAACATGACAAATTATAATCTTAAAATGTTTGATTTATTCAGAGACATCATATAAACCAATATATATATATATATAGAGAGAGAGAAAGAGAGAGAGAGAGAGAAGAAGAGACAGAGATAGAAAGACACAGGGAGAGACATAGTGTGTGAGTGACAGATAGACAGGAGAGAGAGAGAGAGAGAGGGAGATGGTGCTGGGATACAGATATGGGAAGAGAGACAAACAATTCATAACATTTCACAAGGGTTCTTGTAATTACATGATATTTCATTCCCCCCCCCCCCCTCCCCTGCAGGTCCTATCAGCTGATGATGACGACACACCCATTGCTAGGCTCAACCATGGGAAACTATTTGGAGAAGTAAGCCATGTCTTTCATTTGTATCCATTAAGTCTATATGATTATGTTTTACCTTGGATGTTATTTCTTGTTTTGTTTTGTTTTGGTAATTGGGAATATAGATAGCTACTAAAACTTCCTCACAACTTTTAAACATGTATATATGTTGATATATTCTCTTTTTTAATGTTAAAACATAAAACAAAGCCTTAAAAATATACATAAGTTAATAGTTGTTTATGTTTTGAGTCTAGCCTCTTCCTTATGCTGTGTTAATGACTACTTTATTTTCACTTACTTCGTGGTACAGGTTAGTCTTATCTTCAGCATGCCCCGAACAAACACCATCAGAGCCGCTGCTCACTGCGACCTGCTAGTCTTGGACAAGGGTGACTTACAAAATGTCCTCCTTCACTACCCTGAAGGTAAGTAGGGCTTATTCACACATGCCAGGGTAAACCACTTTTACATGTGCGTACTTGACCATACTGCACTTCACATTTGTGTATCTTATAACTGACATATAGGCGCAAAGCTTTATTGTTCATCCCCACTCGCCAATCGTTTACTGAGTCGTTCACACTTAATCCGTGGAGGTTTTTTTTTTTTTTACTGTGGCTTATGTGAACGAGCCTTATTAGTTGGTTCATCTTATACATTTGTTTAGTTTAAAGAATCCACATTCAAATAGCTGTCTTGCCCGGGATATGATAACAAATTAGAGCTACATGTAACTAGACAAACTACTAATGAATGATGTGCATTTCAAAATGTACAGCCCTCCAATTCCAATTGAACTTCATCAACATAATCACAAATCAAGTGAAATATTTAATGAATTACCCAAGTATTTATTATATTTTCCTTGGACTTATGTTTTTTCTCCTTTAATATCTTTAGTCGCCAAGAAGTTGCAGGATATCGCGGATCAACGTTGCGATGCAGCGGGTCTTCTAGAGGAGCGCGTCCGAGCCGGTGAAGGCATCATTCCTGCCTCAAAAAGCCTCTCAAGACATGGAAACCCACAAAACAGTAAGTAGGATAACGTGGAAGTCTTTAGCTTGGATGCTGATATCATACAAAGAGGGTATAAGGCCCTGTTTTTAGAAAGTTTTTATCAATGACTGTTATAAGCTTGACATTGTATTGGCTGAGAGCAAATTTGTCATAGAAATATAGCATTTATTATTGGTAACAAGTTTAATAAAATATGGCGCTGAGCCTAGTATTTTAAAGCGATATGATTGTTTCAAATCGATTGCAAGTTGATGTTAATTGTAATCATATACCCAACAGATAGGAAATTGGAAATCAGTGATTGAGGGGCGGGTTGTATATTGATGAGGAACAATTGCAACTTTTTGGAAGACAGGGCCCAGGAGATGACGATGTTTTACAAATGGTAACGAGACCATACTGAAATATGAAGTTGTAGATATAGTTCTCAAGATGTAAATCCTTTTCTATTTTATCAGAACATGACTCGGCCTATCCACTCAACTCGTACGAAGCATTTGACATGGAAGACGTAGAATCGGAATGGGTAACTGTACACAGGGGATCCGTCGTGATGGTAAGTATAAATAGCCAATGGCATCGTTCCTTTCATCGACCTTATGATAGAGCACAATACTTTAAACCAATCAGATTGGGCCTTTACAAACATTCAACATATTTAATTTAATGGCAATAAAAGCTGCATTAAAAGAGTTTGAAATATTTTTAAAAGGTGTGATATTCTGCAATCTACTTTGAATGTAGCCTAAATTTTTTAATTTTCAAATTCCGATGGAGCAAAAGAGAATTATATTTTCCAAATTGTGACAGAAAAAAAAAGATAATGAAAAGTTATATGGCGTTTTGGGATTGTTTTTCTTCATAAGTGTCAGCCATTGGCATAACAAATTGGCAAGTGTGAAATATCATAGTACACCATTCACCGGTGCAACTTTTTATTACAACGAGAACAGTGATAACAACCAATAATTTACATGTATACTGTTTAAACAAAAAGATGAATGAAAAATCAGGAACCCTTCCCGGCGTTGATAAGATCATTGATTTTTCTTAAGATACTACACAAATAAGACTTTGGCAAAAGTTGTCATTTGAATATATATTTGCCCATAATCTATGCAAATGGTTGATATTTAATGGGTTTTGTTAATTCATCATTTAAATTGATATTTTACCTACTATGTTTCGTAAGGTCTATTATTCAAAACTCATTTTGAAAATGTTCTGTACTTTTAGTTCCTACTCACATTATCATTTATGCATGAGTCTTATTAAAATACTACTAACATAGAACCATACAGTAGAAATATGATAACATTTGCTTAATCTTTGCTTCATATCATGCAGAACATTCAGGATGAGAAGTAGAATTCACATTGATTTTAATAAGTCAATCATTTAGTGATATTAATAACACTGTCTTGTTTTGTTTAAAATCATTATTAGACCAGTTTGCAGATTCATTGTGCTAATATTCCGTCGAATAACAATACAAGAAATAGGAGAATATCTAATATCACTCATTTGCTGTATATTTTCCCAGATTTAATCCGCATACATCTCCTTGTAATGCATATATATAATATTATTATGTGCTAAACAAAAGAAAACAAAATACAAAATTGTTTTTGTTGTTTTTCTTAATCTACTATTTACCTTTAGCGTTGCAGTATTGTCTAATTTGCGTTTTTATATCTAACGAAAGAACAACCTAGAAGTGTGAGCTATGTAACAGCATGACTATGAATATATTAACAATTTCCCCCCCATTCTTTCATTTTTAATGCCATATTTCAGCTTTTTATGGCACAAACCTCATGAAACTATGAAAACGACATTAAATCCTCTCCCTTAAATAGAATAACACTTCCCATACACTTACTAACATGTACTTTCTAACCCAGTGGCGTAGCAGGTACATGTATTAAAGGGTACTCTTATTGTGAGTTGAGTGAATGGGAAATTGTTTCAGAGTTGCAGGAAATTCAATTCAGTTCAATTTAGTGAAATATCAATAATTTGAACATGCAACTATAACAATAATAATGCACATAAATAAGAGTAGGTAAGTGAGTGTGCGGGTGCGTCCGTGTATTTGTTCGTGAGAGAGAGAGAGAGAGAGAGAGAGAGATAGAGAGAGAGTGGTAAGGGGGGGGGGAGATTACATTCCAGTTTATTTTCATGTTCAATTTTTCTCTTCTCACTTCTTTTCACTCTGGCTCTTTCTCTCTGTCTCTCTCTCTGTCTCTGTCTCTCTGTCTTTCTCTTTCCTCCTGTTTTCCATTGCTACTGGGGCTCATGTCCCGCTTCTGAGCTACGCCACTGGTCTCACTTACTGCAATTAATTAATAACCTTCATGATTAACATCATGCATTGCTTACAGGCTGCTCCAGTTACTGACAAGAATGAATTTGAATACCTCCATAATCGACCCCTAGACATTTCTAACATTAACTAATCATTTTTCTTTTTGAACAACGCAAGTTGGCAATTTATTAGACCCATTGCATCGTTCCTGTCACACTAAATTTTGTTTTCTCACAGAAGTCGTACTCGCGGTATAGGACAAAAGGTTGCAATTCGTGAATTAAGAAGAATGTAAATTGTAAATTGGTAGAAAATAACTTTTGTAAATGTTTGAAAGCAAATTAATTATATATAACAAACTTTGTGCAGTAATGACTTGAAAAGGTGTCGGTAGTCAACTAACAATGCTTTGATAATACTTGGTTTCATATATTTCAGTTGTTAGGTAAAGGGGGAAAACGGGGAGATTTTAAACAATGGTCTTCCTTTTTAATTAGGAGTCAACATGAACGTTCATTAATAGTTGAGTTTAAGGGACCACATTTTATTTTGTTCAAAGAATATTTTGCTTCTAACCCTTTAAGAAAAAAATTAAGAAAAACCTAGATAAGTGTAGGCCTACTAATCAATTTTATCTTATGCCTTTTTAAATATACATTTTTTTTCTTTCCGGATTTACTCTTATTCCTATGGCACAAAACCATAATGTTAAGAAGAGGATGTCTAAATGAGAGAACTGTGTTAACAGGTAAAGGGGATTGCTTGCCTATAACTAGGTATCTGGAATTCTTCCGACTTAACTGTATAATTATGTAGGTACACTTTCTTTAATTTAAGTTGTTCATTTTTATTGACATCGTACGACATTTTATCACATTGCCTTAATCAGCACAGCCCGGCAAGGATGACACCATCGGTAAGAACCATCTTGCTTCAAAAGTCGAGATTTAGCTCCTTTAATCTCGCAAAAAAGCCTGTCACGTCACCCCTTTCACAAATTTTCATTCTTTGTCCTGACTTTAGATGTGTAGTATCCATAGTCGCCCTTGTAGACCTGTAAAGAGAGTGTTTTGTCTGTGTATGCGCACATTTCATCGCTTCAGCCCCACCCACTTTTCTCGTTCATCCAATCAGAGTTGTGTCTTGTCTTTGTATGCGCACTTTCCACCGCTTTAGCTCCAACCCACTTTCTCTTATTCATCCAATCACCGTCGCTCCTTCACTGTACACTCCCCCTCCAGCACGACGTCATCTTCTCTTGTGCACAAGTCACCACCTCTTTCTCCTTTGCACATTTAATTGAAACTTGAAGTCATGATCATGTTTTGAGGCCACGCCCTTTCAAGTGCTTATTTAGTATTATCACGCCCCTTCGAATGCTTCTTTCGTATTGTCACAATATTAACACCGTAAATTCCTGCTTATGTAGAAATAATTCTAGCTATATTTTAGCAAAACAAGAGATGATAATGAACATTGATTTCTATGTTCATAAAACATGTTTTTTACCGTATACCAGAAGAACCTTCCCTTACAATGCGTTGTCCTACTGGGTTCCCTTTTATACATTTTCAATATGCGTGGTTTTATTTTATTCTTCAACTCAACAAATCTATTGAATATAGCTTTTGCAGAATTTACTCTAAATCGGTATGCTGTTCACTAACGTTAACTTCGTCTCCCATTTAGCTTTCGGTGTTTTTGTAAAGAAAAGAAGTACTCTTGCATGCTGTTAGATGCTAGTTCTGTCTTATATCTTTTTTAATCCTGGTTTTCTGTATTTGTTAATCATATCCAGTGTCGTTATTGTTCTGTCAGTCTAAAGTGAAAAAACATTACCTTTAATGAAAGGCAGGCCACTTTGTTTCCCATGATCAGTTATAATACATCTTGCATCAAATTAACCCAAATAAATTATTGTGGCTGAAGCACGTTGAATTATCACTTTAAAAAAAAATCCACCATAAAATTCTACTTAAGTAAATGAATCAACAAGTCGAAATCATCTTCACAGCCCGAGCCTTCAGGTATTATGTTATTATAACATCTAACTAGCTTCATTAAAATTGATGACACTTTTAATTACAGATGCCTAAGTTTAGATTGAATACTGAAAAGGCAAGCTGTTCCATTATAAATCTATTTATCTATGAAATACATTTTACTGGACATTACAATCTCTTTTATTCTTACCCTGATGCTTTTTTTTTTTCTCGTTATGGATTAATTTTTAATTAAATATAATGAAAGCAATTTGTTTTAGTAAATGAGCGACTAAAGATGTTAAACAATTTGTAACTAATATTCCTCCATGAAGAAGAAGAGAAAAGATAAAAAGTAAAATAGTACATGGTTACACAACCAGATACAACTATTTTGTTTATATCCTCACAGCGAACTGGACGTCATCTACGTATTTTATGGGATGACATTCAATCCCTCATCACAGACACAGTCGTCCTACCCAACTCACGATTCGCTAGGCTCTGGGAGCTCCTCGTCCTACTCGTCACCCTCGTCATCGCCTTCCTCTACCCGTACTGCGCTAGCTTCATCGGTACGCTCCTACAGAGTTATTACATTTTGAGGGATTTTCATTAATTTTTGTTTTGTTTACGTTCAGAGTAGGATAAATACAAATTATCTTTATTTGTGTATGTGTGAGATACGATGATCTGAGTTTGTTTGAATTCGATTAGTGCATGCAATAATCCTCCAATTAATTCTTGCTTAGACACAAGAAACTAGACCGTAACACGTGGAAAAGAACATAAGACTGAACATGTAATTTGTTTTAACCCTATGTTAAATGGGGGAGGGGGGGGGGGGGTCAATTTGACCTCCCCCCCCCCCCCCTGTAGAAATTTCGCGACTACTCCGAAACCGCGGCAGATATAACATTTTCCTTTCATGACTTTTTTCTTTCGACCCTTACGCATCTTTTAAAAAGATTTTTTTCGAAAATCGAATGTTTAGTTACAAAGTCACGTGATATTTTGTCTTTGCATGTCAGCCCGAAAATTACTCATTGTTGTGATTTGTGTACAAAACATAAGGAAATGTTATTTTTCCTAAAAAGAGATAAAACATTGGTTATTTAGTCTTGTTTAAAAAGTTTGGGTGTTTGTTTTGGGGTCAAAATAGTTGAATTGTAGTTATAAATGAAATAAAACAACAAAACAATAAAATACATGAGTTAAAAAAACAATAAAAAATACGTAATGAATTATCAAAACCATAGATAACAAAAGGAATAACCCGGCTCTTCCAATTTTTTGTGTCGTATTATTATTCCAAATGGTCGAACAAATATATATGTAGTGAAAAAGAATGCTTAAATATGAATAATGTCTGATTTATGTGCAAAAATGTGAATTGTATGACCTTATATGCATAAATTACCATAAATATGCAAATTACTGAATTTTTCAAAAAAAAATGAAATTACCATAGTATTCTATACACTTCACTTGGCATGTATGCACATTTTCGCGGCGATCGGCAGTTAAACGGCCGAGATATTAGGGGGGGGGGGGGTGTCTGAAATAACCCAGTTAAAATAGGGTTAAAGGAGGAACAGGATATAAATGAAGAGAGTTGAATTTAAAAAATGCTGATGATTGATTTATTGTAGAAATATAATTTGCAGTCTTTGTTATGTGATGGTCTTTTGAAATGCACCAAGGATCATGAAAAAAGGTGAAATGCGTAATTTTGCAATTTTCCGTCACAGCCAACCAGAATCGTAACGACGAAGGAACCGAGAACCTGATTCTCCTCACACACATGTATCTCATGGACTTCGTACTCGTCATCGACATCGTAGTACGACTTCGAACGGCCGTCACCACGCCCAACGGTAAGATGATAATAGGATTTTTTTTTAACGAGTTGAAAGGATTCCGTCCTCCAATATGTTGATTGTTGGATTTTAAAGGGTGAAATGATAAAAATAGAAAAAGAAAAACAATCAAGCAATGAAGACAAAGCTACAGAAATTAAGAAAATCGAAGAAAAAAACGAGGAAAACAAAAATTAAAATTAAAAGACATCAAGAAAATTATCTCCGAGTACAAGTTGGGAAAATAGTCACAGCTATTTTACTGTGATGTCATCGATGCGATAACAAAATAGTGTAGGTGTTCATTTTCCGTCAGCAAGAGGTGTGATTACGTGAAGTACACTTACTCAATCCTTGAATAAGAGAGTGTAAACAGGGAATATAAGAACTATCTGGCTCTGACGTCAAAGATAAAAATGATTTAAATGTGGTGGGTTTCTAGTAGATGTCTAGTTATGCATCCGCCACAAAGTAGCCAGATGCATTATTGTCTTATGATATCCAAACCTTTTGGTTGCAATGAATACACATTATTTAAAAAAAGAGAAAAGCATATATTATGACAATGGTCAGTGTTCTTGTCCGTGAAAAAAAAAATTGTGAGGGATATGATTATTTCTATGAGATTACTATTGTTTTGTAGGTACATTCAAGGACTTTCATTACATCCGGGACCACTACGTTCGGAGCTGGGGTTTCGTGGCCGATGTGGTTGCGATCCTACCCCTGGATCTGTTCTGTCTCCTGCTACCTGTAGGCATCCAACGGACCCATGCTCTCTATCTACTGGCTCTCAACAGGCTTATCAAGTGCTGGCGGGTAGGCTTTAAAAAAAAAACATCTTTGTTAACAGTTAATACCAATTCAAATCCATAAAAAAACACATAAGATACAGAATTAATACAATAGAGGAAACAGAGAACACACACAAAATGGAAATATTTCTTGAAATATACCGGAATTATACACAGTTAATCAGCAATAGAAATAAATTAGGAAAACTGCAAATAAAACTCCTTTGTTAACAGTTAATACCAATTCGGAATCCTGCCAAAAAATGTCCACAGTTTCTTTATTATTAGTGAATATCTTTGAATGATTCCGACGTTACTTAAATTTTTTGGAAAATTGTTTTGTCATAACTTTGTGATAGTTATCTTTTATTCTTAGCGTATCAAATCAGGCTTTAGAAAAAATTTGTTTCAATAATATGAAACAAATAACTGCTTTTTTGACAGGGCTAGAAAGAAAATATACATTAAAAAAAAAATGTTTAACAAAATATAACAATATATAACAAAAGATGTCTTTTAGTTTCCTCTTAAAACCGTAAAGTTCCTATACTTACCACGTAAATAATCATGTACATCTTTTGAAATCTTCCCGACAAATAGGTTCCAAACTACCTGCAAAACTTGGAGCAGAACCTTGACGTCAACATCGGGACCATCCGATTCTTCAAGTTTGTCATCTACATTGCTCTTCTCTCCCACTGGAGCGCCTGTCTATGGTACCTCTTCGCATGCCCATCGGGCAAGTAAGTACCCTGTCACAACGGTAACGTACACTCCAGGTACCCCACTACCCCAGTACCGTACATCCCAGTACCATACTCTCATGGACCCTACACCACTGGTACCATACAAAACTGGAACCATACACCTCTAAATACCTATGTATACCCTTCAGTACCTTTACACCAACTACACTCGAACCCTGGTGTCACATGCCCCGAGTACCACGTACATGTACTCCTGATACCCTACAACCTTGTACCCTACATCCTTGGTACCAAATATCTATGGTGCCCTAAAACATTCGTACCATATACTCGAGGTACACTCCACCCCCGGTACCCCACGCCCCTTGTACCACACACTCGATATCCTGAACCTCTGGTACTATACAACCTTGGTACCTTACATCCAATGATCATAAACTTCTGGTATACTTCAACCCGGTACCACAAGCCCTTGGTAGCTTATACATCTAGTACCATACATGTACACCCCCAGTACCGTAAACCCCTGGTACCAAGAGAGAATACCCTTCCTGTGGATAGCCTATAATATATTTTTAAATTTCTGTTTAAAGACTACAAAGAGTCAAATATTCTTGTAATTATGAATGAAATTATAAAAAAAAAATAACATTCTTAATTAATTTCTTTCTTCTTGCTGCTATCAAATAAGTTATCACAAACTGCTCAATCGCTATTGTGCTTTCTAAATGCATTTACTTTTGCAACGGAAAATATATGTAATGTCATCAATTCCTTATCATAATTCGCCTAAAGTAGTTCAGCAAATTAGATTGTTGGAAACAGCTTAGCATTGTGTTTTTTTATTATTATAATAGTGAACTAAAGTAAAGAAAAGATTTTGTTATTCTGTTATCAAACGAAAGTTGCACTGTTTGGTTAAGAAAAAAAGAAAGAAAATGCAGTATGTATTAATATATATTCTAATGCTTAGTTTACTGTAACTCATTCAAGTTGAATGTATCATTTAAGTTAACAATATTGCATTCATCCTTATAAAATGGAAAACGACCATGTTAAAGTTTCAGGAACAAAAATAATTGATAACTTTGTTGTACAAAAGAATCAGTTTGTATTACGTGTATCAATACTTTCGTTCGGGAACAACTGTGCCGAGAATATTCTTCTGAAATTTCGCTTCCTCAAGTAAGATCCCAAAACACGTGTGAGAAAATTATATAACACTGTCCACTTTTTTTTTATCTGCATGGACTTCGACAACGTGTTTTCCATAAATACTCTTCGTCGCGTTATGATATCTCATACTTCTGCCTTTGATCATATTCTAATGCAGTGTTTTATTTATTATACATAATTACTACGCAACTTATTCTTGTTTTGAATAATGATGTTTTTCTGCATGCCTTTCGAGTCTTAAAGACTTCTCTGAATTAAACCAATTTATGTAAAAGGAGATTTCAAGTCGTCAAGAAAATATTCTTTGAAAGATGAGTTTCTTATTAGTTTAGTATTGAAGACCCATGAGAAGAAGTCGGATTAATGATTAGTATTATTATATTGTTTTAAATTCATTCTAAATTTGTCATAGACTTAATCGTTATCAATGAAAATTGTTAATTGAACTAAATAATTTATCATTAATTTTCTAAATGTTTTTATTCGTCACATTTGTGTACAATTTGTATTTCATGTAGCATATTCGTGGTATCACGCTCGTGTAGTATGCATTTGACGTCCAAATTAGTTGCTGCTTCGCTGTCTATTGCATTGTATACGTCGTCCGTGTTGCTTGTCGCATTTAGGTTCCATCAAGACACGTTCTAGATACCCTATTTCATTGCTCACGTCACAGATCGACCAAATCAGTATATCCACAAAACTATATACATTAGACACTTGAATATAATCCCAAAGTAGATTACCTTGGAATGTAAATGTTAACTAGTACCCTCCTCCAAATTGTAAGAATATTCCCGATAGTTATAGACGTAAAGTATTGGGGCGGCACTAGGTACTTGTTTTCTTAAGGGGGAGGGGTCGACTGAAGGCAAATACGATATTGGAAAATAAGTCTCCGCTCCTTGGATGCAGAACCGTAAATAAAGTCATTGTCCAATCCTTCACAAACTTGCTGAATGATCCTAATTGGAAATATAGCTAAAAAAATAGCTCATTCATATATAGATTTTTTTATGAGAAGAAAATAAGATTTAGATAAAGCAGTATACGTTTGAAAAGCGTCGACATTCGAAATGCTCCTGCTTCTTGGTGCCGCCTCCACATACAAGTAGTGCATTGTAGAAATCCCCACCCTCCTACACATCGTGGTATTAGTTAAGAATACACTTTTTAGACCAAAGTCTTTGCTTGATTTGTCCTCTCGCCGTTCACATAGATTCGGTTATTACACATTGCACAATTGAGATATAGGCCTATTCGCGGGCGCAGCCATCACGGTATCTACCAGTTAGAAAGAATTGAGTTTGTTGTAGTGATATCTGCATAATATCAATCAGGCCTTAAATTTCAATATTTTTAGGGTAAGGCCACTTTTCTGTAAGGCACATTCCTATATTACAGCACAAATAGGAAGAATTGGAAAGGGCACAACAAATCTCCAAGGCCAGTAAGAGGGGCATTGAGGCCAATCAAAGGGGCATCCACGGCCGTGGCCTTGGATTAATGCAAGCCCTGATAAATTTTGGGGATACAGTATATCAATTCAAAATTTAGATTTAATTTATTACTAGCTTTGCTTTCAGCTATATATATCGAAAATCAGAGCTGTAGATACTTTGATATCTTACGTCATAATCAGATGGGTACTTGAACTCTCTGTCTCTTGAACTCTTAACCCTTACTGTACTGGGGGGGGGGGGGCCTGGGAGGCCCCCCCCCCTCGACATTTTCGGAGATTGCGCCGCAACCGCTTGGAATTTCGAATTGTCGTTTCATGACTTTTTTCCCTCAAGTCTTACGCACATTTTGATACCATTTTCGTCGAAATCGGATATACCTGTAAGGCGTTACATAACAATTAGTATGCGCATGTCATCAAAAAAAAAAAAAAAAAATGAAAATCGCATCAAAATTTGCATAAATTATCATTATTAATTACATTAAAATAACTTTTTTGTGTGAGAAAAGAAGTTTCATATGGATAATGAGTTTCAACATTCAAAAAGTGGAGTTTGGCACGTTTTCGGTAAAATGCATAAAATTAGCGCATTTTGCATAATTAATTAGGCTAACGACAAAAATTTGCATATTCAGAAAAAACTAATTATACCATCTTGTTCCTTACGTAAATATCTACAAACATGCAAATTTTCGTGTTCATCGGACAATCGACGGCCGAGATCATAGGGGGGGGGGGCCTCCCAGGCCCCCCCCCCCCCCCCCCCAGTCAGTGGGTGCTCAAAATAGCCCAGTACAGTAAGGGTTAAGGACTAGTAATGTTATAGGCCGCCAGCGACGTTCATTTTGTCATGTTTGTTGGGTATTGTCCTTGCAAATCTAGTTTGTTTCTGTATTTTTGTTTCTATTGGATCTTATTTTTTCGGCATTGGTCTTTTCAATTTGGTTCATTGCTGAGTACTTTTCTTTTTCTTGTCGATTCACTTCGAGTGAAACACAGTCACATGCTTTTGTTTTGCTTTCATCGAGAGCCCGAGACATACCACAGTCACCCAAACGAGACCGACACCCGACGGCTACATCAGACTAATAAAACCATTACGTTATACCCATTGGCCACGTTAGTATTACTACCAGTCGGTTTTAAAGTTAGTCGGTCATCGAGTTTAGAGGGCGCTTCTCGCAACGCTCAATGACTTTGACAAGCCATACCAGTGGCAGTGCCAAGCCAGCAACGAGGCCTCGCCGAAGATTTTCGGGCAAACCCGGAGCGGTCACTTTTCGTGCTTTAGTTGCGCGATGTTGCTGTTCTACACGTGTTATTTGCAAATTGATAAAGCAATGGGCATTGTGTGCATGTATATGATTATTATGCATGTACGTGTTCGCCACAAAAAAGACCGAAGTGCAGAGACCGTTATTTGATACTTTCGTCCAAACCTCACAGCTTTCGCCAACAGTTCGTGTATTAATAACAAGCCTGCTTCGCGCGCAACACTCTTATCCGATAACATTGAAACAAATGGATAGTAGCGAGTTTTCGCCCAGCGACGGACAAACCTTCTACGACTCGGGAGCACTCAGGGTTGCGACCGTCGTAAACGGACCGCCCTCGTTGCAATGAGCGGTTTCGCTTTCCGGTGAACGCGTACGTATAGTACGGAGGTATCGCAATGCAATGACAATGCCCTGCCACGCAATACAGTACTGACGGGACCAGGGGCGTACGCAGGGGGGGGGGGGTGTTTTGGGGGTTCAAACCCCCCCCTTTGGTATTTTAATGTATGTAAACCCCCCTAAAAAAAACCTAAAACCCCCCCCACTGAGCGACTTTTCGGCCGGCGCGATTTTCAAATTTTCGGGAGCAACATATTCTAAAACCCCCCCCCTTGAAAAAATCCTGCGTACGCCCCTGGACGGGACTACACGACTAGCCAGCTTAAATTGTCTTGATCGACCAAGCCACAAAACGGCTTTTAATCATATTTCAACAAATCATAATCCACCTTTAAATCAATTCATATGCCATATTCAAGTTGTTATATTTAAGAAACATTAATCGAAAGAAAAAAAAAATCACCGAAGAGCCGTTCGCGTTGAAATTCATCATGTTCCTTCGCGTACGTCCCCCTATCAGCTTTGGTACAAGCGCGCGGATTGGCTGTTGACTCACTTTGGGCGTCATTGAGATCGCCCGTAGATTTTGTCAACAACCGTTCTTGATTTCAGTACCTCAGCGGCCACTCGGCTATTACTATAGTAGCTTCTCGGTTTTGCACACGAACCGCATATTCTCCGTCCGAGTTGAGCTTGCGAAAGCTCCCTATTTTGCAGGGACCACACGCAACGTGCGCGATGTAAGGAACCCTACAGAGCGAAGCGTTCTCGATCCTACCTCG